AGGGAAAACTTACATTACAGTCATTACCCAGGCGAGACCTGAGGTAAGGAAGTAACTTCTTCCATTGCTGACCCGTAGTTCCATTAGCTCCTGCTCCAATAGAACCAAGAAAAAGACCAATCAACAACACCTCAAAGCCTTAAATTCCAAATTCAACCACATTAAACATGTCAATCAACACCTTCATTTCCCAATTTTAAGAACCCTCATCTTATTTCATTCCATTAATTATTTTTCTTTTACAAAAAAGACGCATTTATGAAGAAAAGGATTTGGGGTTCAATGCAAATAGTGTGGGTAGGTAGGCACACATTTCAACTTGAAAACCTGTACTGGTGAACTATTTAAACGGAGAGTGAGGAAAAAAATAAAATCTTGAAAAGAAACAAAAACCTCTGGGATTAACGACGAATATGAGTTCACGGCGGCGAAAGGAAGCGCCGCCGCGGAGCACACTGCAGTCAGATGAGGTGAGATCTGATGACATAGGCGATTGTGCTCTGATTAAAGAAGGATTCCTGGCCATTGCAACTACCACTACACCTTGATATATAATCATTCTTGAAGTAATAAATTTATATATACACACACAAGAAAAGGCACACCTTTCTATGTGATGGAGATTTTGATAAGGATTAGAAGGTAATCAATGGAGGTTTTGAGAGTTGAAAAAACTGAAATTGGGGTTTAGTTAATTACTCTAGCTAGTTCTACAATAAAATAGTGTTGTTGGCAAATCTTGTTTTGTTTTTGTTCCATTTTGGGACCAAAAAAAAAAGATCAATTTCACAAGAAAAATAGTAATGTTTCAATGATGGAAAAGGTTGTTTGATGGGATCTCTTTTGGACTCATTAAACATTATTCAAAAAACAATTCCAATTTGATGCTAAGATTGTGAGTGTTTTTGTTGTACAAGTATGTTACATTGTTTTTATTATTTTAAATACAATAATTTTAGTTTGTTTAGCAAAGTTTATGTGAAACCAATTGCACATTTTTAGGGGTGAAATGTCATTTTTGCTAAATAATAATAATAATAATAATGATGAGTATCTATTCTGTACGCATTTGGATTAATTAAGATTACAATGTAGGTAATATCAAGTAAAAAATAAATATGGATATTAAATATTGAGTGAAAATAATACAATTATTATAAAAGATTCGAATAAATAAGACTATTATAAAGAGATATGAATGTAGCAATTGAAAAATATTATCGCAATACCTAACAACTAATTCGATGTTAGTTTGGCTATGAGATTATTTTTCTATCCCATTTCCTCCTTTAATTTTTTATTTCTTTTTTTTTCAACATAATTGTCGTTTTATTTTTTTAGAGTCAATTTAACATATTTTTAAGCTAAATTTGATTGTGTTATTTTAATATTAAAAGTTAGCTATTCAAAAATTACATGAAGAGCATCATAGGTTGTAAAGAAAATTATCATATCGATATGACCAAAAACATATATTAAAATGGATATTGATCGAAGTTTATATAATTTGACTCTTAAAAATTAATATGTGATAAGTACTTCAGATGTAATTATTATTAGATTCTGTATAAAGTGAAAGTAGAAATAAAAATTAAGGACCAACAAAAGTTGTCATGGAGGGATAAATATTTCTTTCACCTTAACAGCCGTCGTGAGTTCGAGTCGTCCTGAGTCATAAGTATAGGATTTCATTTGTTAAGAAGCGCTTAATGTGCATTATATTACTGCATCGAGGAACTACATTCAAATATCTCCTTAGTAGCATATAAAAATCAACTTTGGGAAAAATTCGACATGATTAAATAAGCTTGAAAGAATGTAAAAATCTCCCTAATAGCAATCACTTCATCGGTCATGATCAAAACATGCTCGAAAGAGTCCAAATATCTCATACATAACTTCACCCACTATTGATTGCACATTCAAAAGTTTCCTCAATGACAATCGCTTCATCAACCATAAGTTTTTCATACATAATAAATCAAAAATCTATGGACATGAAGCAGTTTTCCAAAGCTATACAAACATCAAATCAACACTTGGGCCACAATATATTCTTTGCATTTTTGATAATTTAATCACGTGGTGATTTTCAATCGAGTAACAAGTAAATAGTTTTTAGTCACGCAATAATTTTCAGTTGAGGAACTAATAGGTAGTCTTTAGTTAATAATCTTTAATAAAATATCATCTCGTAGATTTGTTAGTCTAATCACATGATAATTTTTAATTGAGGAACAAGTAGTTAGTCTGTTAGCTAATAATCGTTAAATTCATCATATTCGACGAAAAAGATTTAGAAACAATATTTATTTATTCTAATCTTTCCTTATCAAATAACCAAATATCTCCATCTTTTCAAATTTGCCACATAATATTATCATAAATTTAAAATTCTATGATTTCAGAAAGAAAAAAAAAGTATTTAAAGAACAATAAGTTACACCACTAAACATTTAAATAATATATATTTTATATTGAGAAGTTCTAAAATGGCTAGAAAATTTTTAAAATTATAAAAAAAAAATTAGTTTAAAATGAACTGATCTTTTTCTTTTTCTTCTTTCTCTAAAAATATTAAAACTAAAAGGGTCAAAATATTTTTAAAAAGTAACCAACATATAAAAAAATTCTCGGGCAAAAATAATTTCCTTTTATATTTTTATATCTAAGACTACAAACTTTATATTATCCACATTTATTAGTATTTTCCCTGAATTAATATTACCGATAAACAATTAATCACACATTTTCTTAAACAAATATCCAACCTATTCCTACTAATTGTACCAATTTTCATTAATTTGTAACAATTCTAATTTTTTTTTTGACGTATAAAATTCCAAATTAATTACTCACCTAAAAGTTCTTTTTAGGTAGTAAAAGTATTTTTTTTTTTTTAAAAAAACCAAATATTTGACAAACGTCATCTCCTTGGTTATGTTTTTTTTCTTGATAAAACAGAGAGAACCCACAAGCATCGTCTTCTCCTCCTCCTCTTCTCCCATTTTTACGACTATATACATACACACACAAACATATATCAACCTATACATACAGATATGTGTAGATAATCTGTATCTATCGCCATCAATCGAACAACTTCGAATTTGCAATCATCGAAACCCCAAACCCCCTCATTTGATCCAGGTAGAATTATCAACCCTAGATTCGCAATAAACTTCAATTTCAACATCTGATTACGAATGAAACCCTAGAATTGTGTGAATCATATTGAGCATTACTTGTTTATATGTAGTTATGAAAAGAAGAGGTTGTACGCGAAATTAGGATTTGCATTGTTTTTTTTTTTATCAGGAGGTGGAAGTCGAATTGGAAATAGATGAGCTGGTTTTGTGGTTGAAGATTTGATTGTTTGTTGTGCAGGATCGGAGCTGGAATTACTGTTCGGTAGCTGTGTATAATTTATATCCGGTTTCATTTGAATGGGAGTTTCGGGAATTTAGATTGATGCTGACCTTGGATTGACGTTTAGAATTTTGGGTTGTTTGATTATGATATAAATTTCGGTGATTTATTGCGAACTTGGATAGTTGGAATCTTATTGGATCGTTTTTTTCCTGAGGATGATTTGGGAGAAGTTTGTAGAACATGAATTGAATCTTGTTTATTATTGTTGATTTATTGTATCAAGCTTTTGTGGGTGAAGCATATTTATTTGATAGTGGTGCTACTTATTCGTCGTGGGTGAGGTAGCTGGTGCGCAAGTATGAGCTTGGAGAATGAAGATGGAAGCGCCACCAATCACATCTCTGAAATTGGTGATGAAGTTCGGAAGTAATGATTTAACTTTCTTGTTTAATTTCTAACAGGGTTTATTTGTTAACTTTTTTAATGTGAGTGCTCTTTGTGATAACTCAGGCATCCAAAAGTATCATATACAAGAGAGTTCCTTTTGTCACTCAGTCAACTGGAGATTTGCCAGAAGCTACCAACTGGGTTTGATCAGTTGATCCTGAGGTAAGAATGTTTGCAGAAAGTGTCATTTGCTTGAAATTTTGGAGCAATTAGTTGTTACTCTCCCAAAATTTGTTGCTAGTTCTTTGTTAGGTAATTTTGTTTTGGTTATCATGGAAAGGATTAGTAATTTGCATTTTAAATTTAAACAGTGAGCTCGAGGACACCTCACGTGGCATACAAGACCGCCAAAAAATACCTGGAAGCTTGCCATCTCAAGGTTTCAGACGCAATGATTATAGTTCGTCTCCACCTACTCGTGGTGATTCTGATGGCAGTTCCAGAGGCATTTATGGAAGATGGGACAGCCGTTCGTCAGGGCGTAGTGATCGAGATAGTGATTCACAATCAGATAAAGATTCAGGTAAAGTTGATATTCTTTCACATATAGTTATTGTCTATGCTAAACTTGATTGCTTCAACTATGAATACATATTTGTGGTCCATGGGTGTACAGTTGACTGCTGTGAGACCACAAGATAGAGATTCACAGCACCCCCTGTCTAGTTTGACGTAAATTTGACTGTTCACAAAAAAAAAAGTTGCTCCTTTGCATGGTCCAAGGCCATCATAGTACACTAACCTGGGATCAGGTTGTCTGTGCTATGGGATCAAATACACATTGTGCCTAATCGGAACATCTAATGAGCTCAGGAGATACAATTACATTGGAGAAACCACCCTGAGAAAGAACTGATGCTTCCAGAAGACTAGTCTGTCTTCTTCTTTGATGTATCCAGAAGCTCTTGGAAAGTTGAAATTTGACAAAACATATATGCTTCTGTTACCTGCACCAACGGAGATAGAACGGAGGAATCAATTAGCCTGGAGTTGTGAGGGACATGTAATGGAGTCAATATTAAGATATTCAGCGTCCTTGGCTGTTGAATAGGTGTTGAATGGTTGGAAGATATTCTCATTGGATAGTTGGAGCCAAACATCTGGAAAAGGTCAAAAATTGTGTTGAGGTGGAAGCAGATGACCAAAGGTTGGCCTTTTGATTTGAAAAATCTGAGGTAGAGTTGTTGCTGCTCTGGATGCTCTAACAATTCACGACACTTTTGCCTTCTATTTATGCGTCCTTTAAATATTCATGAGCTCATAATGTAAAGCTGATGTAAGTAAGTGGTGTGGTCCCTGAATAATAATGAAACAACAAATGTCATAAATGTGAATAACTGGGTTAATGTTCGTACCCAACAAATGTCTTGGGCTAAGAATTATATGCAATGTTAAGGGGTATATAACTGTCTAAAGTTTTCCTAGAGGATTTCCTTACTAAATACTCTCGTCTCAATCTATACGTCTCACTTTCCTTTTTAGTCAGTCCCAAAAGAATGACGTATTTCTATATTTAGTAACAATTCAACTTTAAAATGCTCATATTACCCTTAGTGAAATGATTTATAGCCACAAAAATATGTGAATTATTTTAGACCACAAGTTTCAAAGTCTATCTTTCTTTCTTCAACTTTATGCCAAGTCAAATTACATCACATAAATTGGGACGGAGGGAGTAGCAAATGTCAAATGCTTACTGACATGAATGTCCATTATCTGTGTAGTACAGGGATTAAATTAGAAGATAGTGAATCAGGACGAGGTTTGAGTCTGAATAACTAGAGGGTATCACTTCACAAAAACATCATTCCATATGTGTCTTGTTACCAAGCTCACTGATACAGAGCAACTCTGTTGAATGAGTTATCATAGGGTAACAGTACTTCAGGAGTACTGATGAGACCTGAACATTATAACAAGCACATTAAACCCCACAAGTAGTGCAGTGCAGAGAAACTTTCGTGCCTATGAGTATTATACTTATATATACTATATGCTTTAGAAGGAATGGAAAGAGGATTATGCTAGTGTATCAAGACAATCTTTTTATATTTGTTATTTGAGAAATAAATTTATTTATAAAGATTTAGATCTACAGACTATTATGAACAATTAAAATGGGTGTATGCAAACTTGAAATATAAATGAGAGAGTGTTAAGACTTGAGAGTTATATTAACAAAGAATAAATGTTTTGATTGACTTTGCCTTCCTATGCTAAGTGATTCTTTTGATTCTATAGACATCTCTTATTCCCGTCCAACTAAATGATCCAAAAGATGCCAAGAGGTATGGCCTTCCCGTGTCTCTTAGAATTTTCCTAACTTTTTGATTCTGCCAGAAAACCAAAGGTCTTCCACATTCTTTGGCATCACCCACTGCACATCATTCATGTATAGGAAGAGCTGCTTTGCGTGACTTAATGCAGAAACAAATGCTATGCAGATTCCTGAGAATTTTCACAGAAAAAGCACATACTGCAGAGAGAATCAAACTTACTAGCATCAAAGATCGTAGGTTCAAAAAAATTAGAAGTTGACCAATTTCATCATCTTCCCAATCATCAAAATTTCTCCTGAAGTGAGTCTTCATTCCTCCTCTGTCTAGCATTCTGCAATTGTACACTGTTTTTTTCCTGGTTAAACTATACAATGTAGGATATTGTTCATCACTTTTTCTTCTCCCAGCCAAACATCTTGTCAAAGATCTGATTCTTCTCCCATCACCAACTTCCAATGAGATGTATTTCTGAAATTCTGACCATAATCTACCTATTTGCTCCCATACGCCACTTTTTGTAGGTGTAGACACTACAGGGTGTCCAGAACCCTTCTCTAATGTCAATAAGCTTCTTGCAGGTTTCTCTCCATTCACATTGTATCTTCACAACCATTTTGAACAACAAACTCTTGTTGTGAAGTTTCAAATCTTTTACTCCCAAACCTCCACCTTGCTTACCTTTTATAACCTCCAGCCATTTTACCAGATGAACGTTTTCATTTCAGCATTTCCTTCCCAAAGAAACTGACTTCTCATGGAGTTTAACTTCTTTTATCATCTATTTCCCTCCAGTAGGGTTTTTATACTACTAATGTTTTGGGGCATCCGGACAGTTAGATTCCAGCTAATCCACATTGCTGAAGGTACTGTCTTTTTTGTTCTTGTGCTTCATTTATCCTATGCTGGGTGGGGACTTGTGTAATGCCGCAGTGGTGTGCTCCTTCTAACTAAACATCATTCTCACTCAACTTTGCAACCTTCTTCTTTTCTTCAAAAACCACTTTTTTTTTTCTTTTTGTTGGTTAGACTTAGCAAAGGTAGGGGTAAGGCTTCGTACAGACCACCCTCCTTAGACCCCATTTGTGGGATTACATTGTTTTTTATTTTATTGTTCAAAAACCAATATAGTCGGGTGAAAAGTGTCAAAAACATTCCGATCTAAATCAGATAGCTATATTTGTGTCAAATCAATGTTATTTCCTCCTGTCAAGTACCACATTTTATGGTAACTTATTGTTTTTTTTTGTTGGTTGTTTTTTCATGGCTGTTGCATAAGTACCTTTCATATGCTTATTCCTTCTTCGAGTACTATATTCGTTCCATCTGTGATCTCTATAAATAGTAGTCTGAGGAATGCTTATTAAAGGTCTCGTCTTTGCATTCAATGCATCTCCATAACAAGAATTGGGATGCAGGTTATAGTTGTGGTCAAGTCATTAGTCTCTTGAATTCTGAGAGAGCCTTTTAAGTATTTGTAGGTTAATATTTAGCTCCAACTTCTTACAATTCTCACTATTAGATGACTGGTTTGCAGAAATAGTGCTCCTCTTGCATTTAAGAACTATAGGGTATTAGACCTTACCAAGCGTCTTCCACTATTTTTCATTTTACGCACACATGCATGTGGGTACTAAATGGTAAGTTTTCTTTAAGAAAGATCTATTTGGCAAACATTTTCTACAGATCCTGGTAGACGCTATGGTAATCAAGGCCGGCGCAGTTGGCAGAGTTCCGAGCATGATGGGCTTCTTGGAAGTGGTTCATTTCCCAGGCCATCTGCGTATGCATCAGGGACTGCAACTAAGGTCCGTGCAAGTGATAATTATCTACTTAACAGGAGCAATGAACCATACCATCCTCCTCGCCCCTATAAGGTGAATTTCAATTGATCATTGCTGCTCACATAGTGACCACTTGCTTGGTCTGCTGCATGACTTGTCCCATTATTTCAGATCATGCTGTGAAGATCTTTGAAAGGAATTTAACTTATTCAATTTTATTCTTGCAATACCTTCAGGCAGTACCTCATTCTCGTAGAAACACTGATGCATGCAATGATGAGACCTTTGGTTCAATTGAGTGTGCAAGTGAGGACAGAGTGGAGGAGGAAAGGAAAAGAAGAGGTATTTCCTCTTTCAGTAATATCTTGCATGGCTCTTACATATAAAATATGCAATTTTGATGAGTTAGTGGACAAATGAACTTTGATTGGCTTTCTTACAGCTTCTTTTGAGTTGATGAGGAAGGAACAGCAGAAGGCTCTTCAAGAGAAGCAGAAACCAAATGTAGAGAAGCACACAGCTGTATTTGATTCAGAAATCTCGGTACTGCTGGAAGATGATAAGAAGGATCGGGGGCTTCTAGACAAGAATACTAAAGTAGATATAATGGCCAGCCAGCCTATCGCAAACAATGATTCTGGAAAATCATCTTCCTCTTTGCTGAATCTTCCATCTAGACCGCTTGTGCCCCCGGGCTTTAAAACCACTGTTACGGATAAGACTTCTGGCTCAACAACTTTGAACCATTCATGTTTGACAGAGGTACTTGTACATCTCTTAGTTTATCTTATACATGAAAATCAAATCAGGTGCATCATTATTAGAGATGGTGTAAACCACTCTGCGTTATGTATTGTTTGGCTTGGTTATCCGCTCAGCATTGTGCATTTATTTGCCTGGATTTTAGGGTTCTTTTCCTCCCTCTCTTCTTAATGATGGGGTTAGGAAAGGGATCCAAGATAATTCTAACATTTAGGGCTGTTGAGATATTTCTAACATTTAGGGCTGTTTTCACTCTTCAGCAGCCAGGTGATACAATGCTGTTAAGCAGCCTAATCCTTTATAATTTGGGTAGGCTAGTCTCATTCCTATGTACACAACACACAAATACTATCAATATCTATATTTATATCCATATCTATATTATAATAGGAACACGAAAGTCCTTAGCGAAATGTTGTTTGCCTTTTTAGCCTTTGAAATATCACATTGGAGTAAATTGTCATTTAATTATTTTCTTATTGTTTAGGACTTTTAAATTAACTAAATTTTGACTATTGTGATCATTATTCAATTTAAAATCAATTACAGCATTACTTTAATAAAAATTTTCCTTTTTATTTATTTATATTCCTTTTGTCCACATACACGCTTTCTTTTTTAGTCGATCCCAAAAATAATGACACATTTTCTTTTTGACATATATTAAATAATACTATCAACATTTTACCCATGTTGGGTTCCACTTATTTGGTAAAAACGTTCACAAAGGTGTACTCTTCTATTTATAAATTTCGGTTATTTTAAGGTTAATATTGGAACATTGCAAAGTCTTCTCATATTTCTTAAACTTTGTGCCTAGTCAAACTGCATCACATAAATTGGGATGAAAAGAATAATTTATTTAGGTTTAGTTTTCGTCTATATATAATTAGTTCTAATTTATTTTGGTTTTGGTTAGACAATAATAATAGAGGAATCAAGAATTAATTTGCATGGACTTTTCAAATACTTCTTTTGTCCGTGAGAACAAAAATTATACCTCGTCTTGAAGTTCTAGTCCCACAAGGCCATACAATTGCCTATATTTTTATATTTTTTTATTGTTGATGTCCATTGTCTTCCAACATCGTCATGATTCGGTATTCCTGTTAGATAGGTCAAGAAGATTGAACGTCTTGTTGTTACAAAATATTACTTAGATTTTTCTCTCTCTTCATATTTAGGATTTTGAAATCAATTAAATTTGCTTATTTAGTATTTTTCTTATTTGAACTATATTGGAAGTTCTAATATTCTGAATGTTAAATCAATTAAGATTTAGCCCGATATACATCATTTCATATTTGAAATATGTTGTAATTAACCATGTATAATTCTAAAAAAAAAACATAATTAACCATGTATAATACTTTTCTTACCTTTTTAATATGTAGGATTTTGAAATCAACTACATTTTTATTAAATAAAATCCTGCCTCCCCTAAGGCCTAGCTCGAGTGGCCAAAGATGGAGGATTTGTGGCTTAGGTCGCAGGTTCAATCCCTACACCATGCAAAGCGAAGCTCGGTATTTAAGTGGAGAAGGGTAGAGGGGCGGGTCCATTATCCATCGAGTTTGGACAGACATATTTCTTGGTTATCAAAAAAAAATCCTTCCTTATTTGAACTGTGTAAGATGTCTTAGTATTTAGGACATTAAAGTCAATTAAAGTTTAATCATCTGAAATAAATTATATCCTTATGAACTGGTGCTAAACATTTGAATCAACAAAAAGTAAATGATTCGTTTAATGTTGAGCGAAAATAATTAAGTCTTTGAATTCATTATTAGATAAATAATCCAGTTCAATTGCACCAAGGGTGTGGCCGTGTGACTTAGTGGTCAATGTCTTAGGTTAAGCACCATGAGATTTGAGTTTGACAAAAACACTAGGTCATTTCTTTTTATCCAACCTAGCCTTGTTCTAACCTTGGCGGACAGAGGCAAGGCTAGAACAGAGTTACTTGATATTTTTTGTTGGTTTATGGTGACATGTATGTCGTGGAATTAGTCAATGTGCACGGTTGATCCAGACACCACGGTTGTAAAAAAAATTCAATTCAATTCTTTTCCATATTCATCATATAAATAAAAATGATTTAACATAATTTTTTTCAAGTCTTTGATTTAACTTATCTTGTCGTATTAAATCGTATTATTTTTACCTTGCATGCATGTTTCTGATTCCTTTTTCTCTTTATTTGCTTTCTTTTCTTGCCCTTTCTTTTTTTCTCTTTCGAGCCGTGAGTCTTTCGGGAACAACTTCTTTGCCCCAAAATGCTTGGTTTAAGGTCTCCGTACATCCTACTCTGCCAGACCTCACTTATAGGAATATACTAAGTATGTTATTGTAGTTTAAAATTTTCTGTACATAGGGAATCATAATATTTAGGACTTCAAAATCAATTAAGATTATACCTTTTCCCCTTATTTAAATTATATGGCATAATTTCTTAGTATTATAAAAATAAAATTGTGTGTTGTAAATTAAAAATGACCTTTCGGGGTGTCTTCGTAATTTGGGCTTGGAATTTCCATGTTGGAGATCTCAAGTTTGAAACCCCTGCCAACGAAAGCAAGGGGTTTCTTTCTGGGTTGAGCTCGTCGCACCGGGCTTGCCCAATGTGGGTTACCTCTCATGTGTGGTGTCAGTTATTGCTTAGGAGCAGGGTTTTATCTTGTGCGTACCCAATAGGGAGCATCTGCGGGTTTCCTTTGTCAGAAAAAAAAATTTAAACTGAAACCATTAATATGACAAATAGTCAAAATATCGTTTTTCGAAAACAAATAAAAAAGAGGAAATTGGTGGAAAATTACTTGACGCACACACTCTTATTTTTACATATAGTTTTCTTCAAAGGCTTTTACATTTTATTTAATATATACAAATATTAAATTAGTTTATTTATAGAATAAACTACTACTAAATTTAGGACTTCAAAATTTTGATAAGTTGATGAAATTTTATGTGAAAATAATTATGAAACTAATTCATATGCAACCATAAGGTTTTAGTAATTTCCAAATCAGTCCTCTAAATATTTTTTTTTATCAAATTACTTGGCATTTTAATAGTCAATTCTCTTAGATCTCTATACATATTTTTTGGAAGGTCAATTCTGTTTGCTATAATGAGGATCAACATAAAGTACTAAAATGAACCCTACACTATTTTACTTTATTTGTTCTATTTTATGTTAAAGCATTAGATTAGACGCAAAAATTTAATCAGGCGTTTAACACGTTAGTGAGTTTATTAGATGCACAAAATTATTATTTTAAATAAGTGATGGTGATATTTGCACATGTTTTTATTTCACTCCTGTTAAGGAAATGAATTTTTATATCAAGTGAATCTAACAAGTCATGTCATTAAGATTTGAGAGTATAATATTTCTCCAATAGATAATTTTAAGGATAAGGATATCAATACAGTATGCTTTATTGAGTTGAAGTACAAATCTAATTAATGTGTGTAATCTCACAATTAAAAATCCTATTAATATGTGTGTGCTGCAAATTTGAAGATTGTGAATCTTGTACAAACTATTACTACTACTAACTATAAGAGCAAAAACAAGAAATATCTATGTATACCAGTTTGTACTAGAGGTGTTGCCAAAAAACCCATAATGAAACGGAAATAAGAGTGAATGAGCCAAAGGATCAGGAAAGAAGGGTTCTATCCATAATCTATTGCAGGGGCTTTTTGTTTGTCGTACTTTTTTTTTACCTTCTTGGTGTTTTATTAATAAAACAGTGAAACTTATACCTTATCAAAAGAAGGGTTCTTTTCCATGTCATATTCTCAAGTTTTTTTTTACACAGCTTGGTTTTGCAAAAGAGGAGCATGTCATGTGGAGGTGGGGACTGGGGATGTCCTTTCTATCTTCTTGTGGTGGAGATGTTCCCATTCCTGTTGTTACACAAAGATATACTACTTAAAGATGTAGAGCTTTCAAGATCTCTGTGTGAAAATAGTTCATTGATTCTATGATAGTCCATTCAAGAACCATGATATTGGCTAACCCACATTTTCCTTCTTGATTAGTCCACCTCAGTAATTTACTCTTGGTCCAATGTTATAACTTTAGAAACTGCATAAAATTCAAAAATACTGAACATGGAG